TTGGCATCACCCTGCCCAGCAGGATGTCCAGGTCCCTACCCACAGAACAGGGCACACATTATTCCTTGTCTGCCATGTCTGGGTCAAATGTCAGGAGCCACGGAGGGCAGCTCTGGACTGACTGTGTTTGCCCGGGTACACAATGGACTTTTAAGCGATAGTGCCAGGAATGTAAATGATTCCAGGATTTCCCAGCACTGAGGAGGGGTTCCAGGTATGGTGAGTGGCAGGATAGGACTAGGATCCTAGAATCGGGCAAGAGGGGCACCATAGGTAGTTATTGAGAAGAATTTGGTAAGATACAGTGAGAGGTCTTGCTACAATGGGTGGCATAAACATTCTGTGAAATTTCACAAAGCTGACATATAACAAAAGTGTTTTTTTCCTTCCAGGACACACACAGTCTAACCTCCTGATACCTGCACATTGTTACCAAGATCACTGTGAGAATAGCTAGTTCTTCAGGGTGACTGCCACCCATCACTCCCCCTTCCTGTGATCAGGAGAATATGTTACCGTGTAACACCTAATCACACCAGCACATGACCCATAATGTATCTCTCTGAGGAGTGGTGGGAGACTATATTGATCCTGCACACATCTGTTTGCTGGTCTCTCTGCTTGAAAAACCTTCAAGCTTGACTTCAAAGCAATAACCCAATTGTTAACCAACAGACTGCCTTCATTTACCTTAATACATAATCAAAATGAACACAGTTTCCTCATGATTCACAATATCAAAGCAGCATGTCTCACCATGATATGGAGCAGGGAGGTCATGACAGCCATAATACCCAACTGATTAAGGATAAGCAATATTATAAACTCATCACTTCCAGGGCTGAACCTCTGTCATATAGGTACAGTGTGTAAGAACCACATTTCTGTTGTCCGGTCTTAGTTAGTGAGCCTAAATCCACATTTCCAGTTCCCATGCATCTTCTGGGAGTGAATCCCTTTCAGGTTCACATTTATCTTTGAAGCATAAACCTGACATGGTAGCACTTAAGCTGAAGGAATTTTGAGGGAACTGCAGCCGAAAATGATTGTGAGTTTTACATTTTGACTGACTGCTTTCTTACCCTCCTATGTTCATTGATCGTGACCAGGTAGACAGGAGTTACAAAATCAGGCACATACTTCATTCCTGAACAAACAGCCTCCTGCTGTCTGCTGATGATAACTGAAGGCTTGATAAGAACCTATCCTTTAGAACCAACAAGTTGGATACTTGAGGTGAGGTCTCCTTTATATTGCAAGAATCAATCTGATCACAAAAGGCACAGAGGGCAGGTTTGAGGACTTTTATTTTAAGTTTCTTTACCAGCTAGGACATGTGTAAAAGTCTATTACAACAGCGCCAACACTTCAAAAATACTTAGCCTGCTATCAAGACCTGAGGGCTTGAAAGACACAACATGGATAGATACTGTTCTTTCTTCTTCTGTAGAAAGTCAAACCCCTGCAAAGGAAAATGTGCATTCATCTCACAAACATGATTTCAAAAGTCAACCTACAGCAGTGTCTTTGCATGAACAAACATTTCTCATTGGTGGCGAGGATATTCAGTGGCCCTGCTGAGTTCAGTGTTGAGCTATCGGCCAATGACCAGGGAAAGGTACTTCTTTCTGTGCACCCATTGACTCTGAAACACGGAAGACTCTGGAAAACAAACCTCCAGCATCAGCCTTGTTTGATCACACAACAAGATACCCAATGGAATTTAACCCTGATAAATTTGATGTGATGCATTTTGGAAGAAGGAACAAGACAAGGAAGTACCAAATGCGTGGGAAGTCAGTAGGAAGCTCAGAGGAACAGAGGGATCTTGGGGTGTTTATCCGCAGATCCCTGAAGGTGACAGGGCAGGTAAATAGGGTAGTTGAGAAGACATTTGGGACAACTGCCTTTACCGGTCTTGGCATGGATTATAAGAACAGGGAGGTTATGTTGGTGCTGAGGAGAAAAAAATAAGTTTTTTTACTCCCAGAGGCTGGTGGGGGTCTGGAATGCACTATCTGGGAGGATAGTTGAAGTGGGAAACCTCACAACCTTCGAAATGATGATCAGTTGAAATGTCATAACATTCAAGGCCCAGTGCTGGAAAGTAGGGTTGGTGTAGATAGGTCAGTGCAGGCTCAATGGGCCAAAGGGGCTCTTCTGTGCTGTATGACTCGATGGCCAATTACCTGTTTAGGATGGGGCAACTAGTCCTGAACAGAGATGAATCCAATTTGAGTTCCAAAGTTGCTCCCATCCCGAATATGGGAGAAAAAAGTGTCTGGGTGACAGACTGTGCAGACAGTCACTTCTCCATATCTACTGCCTGTGAAGTCATCACTGATGTTTTCAGAGAGAATCCCTCCGCGTTCCAGTAAAACCCTTAAGAAAGGAAGAGTTCGACATTTTGTAGAGTGCACCTCTCCCTTATCCATCATATTAACATCATCTCGTTAAATACAGTGAAGGAAAAAAAACAGTAAAACTTGCAACCTTCCCATGTAACCACAGAAGATGCAACACCTACCCCTTCACCTCCTTCCTGCTCACCATCCAAGGGTCTAAACAGTCTTTCCAGGTGAAATCACTTGTACCTCCTCCAATTTGGTCTGTTGTATTCGCTACACCCAATGTGGCCTACTCTACACTGGAGAAACCAAATACAGGATGGGTGACCGCTTTGCAGAACACCTCCAGTCAGTGCACAAGCATGACCCTAACCTTCCTGTAGCTGGTTATTTTAACACAGCGCCCTACTTGCACACCCATTCGTCTGTCCTCAGCATACTGTAATGCTCCAGTGAAAACTGAAGGATCAACATCTCATCTTCAGACTGGGCACTTTACAACCTTCTGGGCTCAATATTGAGTTCAACACCAAAATTGTGAACCCACTCCCATTCCTTCCCATTTTTTCAGTTTGACTTATTCCATTCTCTGTCTCCATGTCCTCTCTCCCCTCGCCCCATCCCAGTGGGACGGTGTTATTTCCAGTCTGGCAATTAGACACACCATTGTTCTGCCATTCTCACATTCTGATCTGAACTATCAAAATCCTTTCTCCCCTATCACTCCATCTGCTACCTTCTTCAACTATTCCATAAATGCTGGCCCTCCACACTTCATGTCAGCTCTGGTGAATAGTCATCTGAACTTGAAATGTTAGCTTGCTCTCTCTCCATGGAAGCTGCCTGATCCACTGTGATCGCCAGCAAATATAACAAAGTGTGGAGTTTCACTTTTAGGACTCCAGTGTTCAGATTTCCAGAGAGATAAACCAGGAATACTTGGAAATGAAGGTACTGGTTCTACTGGAGCTCTGTTTTGAAGTGTACAAGATGAGTCAAACCAGTGTATGTCATTTGCAATGAAAACAAAAACTGCTGGCAATCACTCAGAGATAGTAAGAACGACCAATGTTGGAGTCAGATATAACACAGTATGGAACTGGAGGAACACAGCAGGCCAGGCAGCATCAGAGCAGCAGGAAAGCTGACCTTTCGGGTCTGGATCCTTCTTCCAAGTTATCTCTACTTGTTATCTCTACTTCTTTAAATATCTGCTTGTGTTTAGATCCCATCATATCTTCTAATCTGTATCCCCAATTTACCTTCGCCAGTATACCTCTCGTAGTTTCATCTGTACATATATAATTTCAGACTTAACTAAGTCTCTCTCAAGCTCAATATGAAATTAAGGATATTGTGATCACTCCAAATGGAAAATATTGTGATCACTGCTCCCGAGAGTTTCATTCACTACAAGGTTATTTATGAAGCATTTCTAATCGTACAATGCTAGATCCAAAATTGCCTATTCCCAACTTGACACATAACATCTGACACTGATCTAGAAAACTATCTTGAAATCATTCCATGAGCTTGTTTCTACTGAGATTTGACTGTCTTTATAATCTCCACTGAAAACTTTATATTTCAGAAAAAAACACCTCAGTAAGTCTCAACTAACAATTTATGTTCTACTCTATTCCCTAGCTTGTTTTCTCGTTATCTAATATTCCACACAGATACTCCCTAAGGTTACAAAGCAATTTTTCTCCATTTTTATTATATTACACTTTTCTTGTTTTTTAACCAAACAGCAACGACAGAGGCAGCAGCAAGAACAGTGAACAGTAAGTGTTCCTTAAGCCTGGCAAATAGAG